CGATATCCAAGACACAGATAGGGCCCGGCGGGCTAGCTGGTACCGCCCCGCACCCTTCGGAGCCGGCGGCGCGGTTGAAGATGGTGGAACAGGAGGCTTCGCGAGGCAGGCTGTTGCGCGAACAGGGCGGGAAACCGGCTCCCGCGCAGGGCGGGCTGCCTTACTGGGCTCGTCTTCGCAGCGGGGGCAGAGGGCCGGGGCGGACGGGTGGGCGCCGTCGTCGCCGAGGGACTCGCGCTGCGCGAGGGTCAGCGGCAGGGTGCGCGGGCCGTCGGCGGCCGTCGGCAGAGGGATGGCCACGGGCGCGCGGCAGCCGCGGCAGGTCGTGTCGAAGAGGCAGAGGGGGCACTGCGGGCTGCCGAGGGCCGTGTTGGCCGTCATGCAGTTTGCGCCCAGGACGTGGCCGCAGTGCAGGAGGACGGCGGGCTCTGTTTCGGGCGAGGAGCTTGAGCTTGCGGGCGGCATGGCGAAGATGTCGAGGTTTGCGGAGCAAAAGGCGCAGGCGGGGCCTGGCCTGGCGTGGGACTCGGCGCTGCCGGGGCGCTTGATGCTGTGGGTGATGATCTCGGGCCAGAAGTTCGAGCAGCGTGCTGCTGGGCCTGTTGTCGTCCTCGGGCTGACTGGTGGGCTACTTGGACAGCTTGAAGAATGCTCGTCGAAGGGTGGTACAGGCAGGGTTTGCGGAGCTGTTGGCCGGAGTCTGCTGAGGGAGCCGTGGGCGCAGCTCCAGAGAGGAGCGCCGCATGTGCGGCAGCCGGAGAACTTGGGCTTGTCATCCGGACCGACGTTGCTGTTGGCGTGATGCTCGAGTAGCGCCTCGATATTGTCTACATTTGGCGAATTTGGTATAACAGCGTCGTAACCAACGCTGTCTGGCAGAGCATGGTCGACGATATTGACCGTGATGGCCTCCAAAGAACGCGACTCGTCACGGCGCCACGAAGAAGCCGGCTTGGGATTTGTCTCCTGTGGTGACACATAGTCGGGTAGGTCGGGTGTTGGAAGTACTATGCTGACATGAGGTGAATCGACACGCTGCTTCTTTTGCAACGGCCCCTGGGCTGGGAGCATAGTATCGGCACAGTCATGATCAGATGCAAGGCGCCGTTTCTTGGTTGTGGTGTTTGGTATCATTGGTTGGTCACCAGAGAAGGGTCGGTCTGCCATCGAAAGAGCGGTGCCCTTTGAACGGCCCGATCGAAGTTGCATGTCTTGATGAGGAGCTGGAAGCAAAGTAAGGATCTTGACGATGTGGCAGTTTGGAGTCCCAGTTTGAAGTTATGATACAGATGCGAAGCCAACACATTGACATTGCCGTTTGGGTACTTATATGGCGATCAGTAGCCAGAGTTGATGATCCGTGTCAGAGGGGTCTTGAGATTGCCGCCGCTGAAAGGAAACCTGACGGGGCTGTTCATAGCGACATGTCGCGCGTCATTGTTGGGAATGAACAGCAAAGCACCTGTCTGACAAAGGGCGGGCCGTCTTCACCACCAGAACAAGGCCTTGTGAAGATGCTAGTCTGTACGTCAGAGATAGAGAGACGGCAGCGAAGAGCCACCGCAGGCAATAGAGGCCATGACGGATGGTCTAGCCGGCGAAGACATCAAAGGAAGCGGCGGTTTTGTTCAGGCGGGCGTTGAAAGAGGATGTTTTCGGAACAGTTTCGATCGTTGACGATTTTGGGGCCTTGTGTCACAGCCTCGATGGCATGTCCCAGACGATACACCCTCGTCTTCAAATGAAGTGCAGAGAGGTGGTGTTTTGGGGACAATGTCTTTTGGGAACAAGGTCGGTTGATGATGTCGTGGAAGGGACGGCACAGAGGGCGTCGTGGGTTTCCTTCTCAGCGAGGTACGTACCGGGAGCTCTTATCGGCATTTCCCTGGATAGGTACCTAGCTAGGTACCTTCGGTAGGTAGGTAGGTACCTCAAGCACCTAGGTAGGAAGTACCTAGGTAGGATACGTAAGGTACCAATGGTACCCATCCACCCTTGCCCTTGCCATCCACTCCCTCGCAAAGACCAAGTGTGGCCTTGCGCTCCAGGCACCAACGCGTCCCCATGCAGCCATCTGCTTCGTGCGGCAGCTCCAGTGCCTCCAGTGCCTTGTAGCGCAGTACGTACCGGATACCTGCAGGTACCGGATACCTGCAGGCACCAAACCCCTGTCACGCACGAGGCAGCACCAGGACGAAAGCAGTGCGAAAGCGACTCGAAT